TAGATTCATGGCGAATCCGGGGAAGGCACACTGGGAAGCTGTGAAGTGGATCCTGAGGTACTTAAAAGGTACAGTGGATACGGGTCTATGTTTTGGTAGAGATGCATGTCATATAAGTGGGTTTGTGGACTCGGATTATGCAGGTGATCTAGATAGACGACGATCTACTACTGGATATGTGTTTTGCATACATGGTGCCCCAGTTAGTTGGCGATCGATGTTACAGGCTACAGTTGCTCTTTCTACTACAGAGGCCGAGTATATGGCCATGGTAAAGGGAGTGAAGGAAGCATTGTGGTTATGGGGTCTTCTAGATGATTTGGGGATTGAGCAGGATTGTTTGGACTTGTGGTGTGATAGCCAGAGTGCGATTCACTTGGCTAAGAATTAGGTTCATCATGCTCAAACCAAGCATATTGACGTCAGGTATCATTTTGTGCGTGATGTTATAGAGGAAGGTGATATTTCACTCTCGAAGGTACACACAAATGAGAACCCAGCTGACATGTTAACCAAAGTGGTAATGGGTAGCAAGTTTCAACATTGCTTGGACTTGCTTCACATTAGTCCGTGTTGATATGCCCGAGAGGGCATGGCCTTTCGGGGCGAGGTTGAAATGAGGTGGAGAGTATATGAAGGTGGAGGTGAACTACGGAGGCTTGATCCCGAGTTATGGGTACGTAGGCAATCATGGTTTGAATGATGCAGTCGAGTTGGTGCTTGCTACTTCTTCTTGTGTTCGTCCAAAATTTGAGGTCTATCAAATGATGTACGAGATGGAGAATTGTGAGAAGAAGAGAAGCTAGAGGAAGAGAGGAAGGGGGAGGTTCTGCCGGGGCGCCCAGGCGCCACTCACATGGCGCCTAGGCGCCCCAAGTGCAAAACCAATTAGAAACCTGGCGCCTAGGCGCCCCGATAGTGTATTTATACTCGGTTTTTTTGCCTCTTTTCAAAAACACAAGACCTAGGTTCGGTTTTAGAGAGAAAGAAGAGAGAAAACTTGGTGAGAATTCTACAAGTTGAAGGTTGTTCATCTTGGGTACAAATTCTAAGTTATTTTCTTTCTTAGGGATTAACTTGAGGTTTGTTCAAGTAATCCAAACACATTGATTTTCATATATTCGATTGAAATCATTTCTTCCTCCTTTTTTTTCTTGTTCTTCAAGTGTTTTGGAAATTTTCACTTTGTCAACTTTGTTTGATCATTGGGCTATCTTTGGGAGGTGTTTTCCCAACAAAGTTGAAGTCAAAAGAGTTCATATTTGTCTAAAATAATCGATACACATAAGATATATGAAAAAAGAACTACCGAAACTTATATATAATGTCTTTTGAATACACATGTTTGATATACGTTAACTATTTTCGATAATCATTTAGATCATTCGATATGTTTATGATATAGTTCTTGAAATGAGCTTCGAGAGAATATAGAAGATTTATGCATTTGATTACTGTACAATCGTCGATAAATTTTTAAAATTACTTTGTTATCGAAATTTTTAATTTTTTAAATGATGTCTCTTTTGACATTAAAAAAATAAAAGTTTATTAGGAAATTTTCTAAATGATGTAAAAAAATTTATTATATTATTTAAAAAATTAATTGATCGAAAGGAAAAAGTAACAATAAAGAAAAAATTCTTAAAAATGATCGAACTTCTTTTATATATAAATTTTTTTCAGATATTAAAATAATTAAGATGAAAAATTAGTTGGTCTCAATGTTTTTATACTCGAAATGTATTTTCTGGAGATATGATGAATGCTCCCTTGATGCATGGATTAAAAACCCAAATTATTGGAGCTCATAATTTATATATCAAACATTATTTTAGTTTGAGTGGTTATTTTACATATAAAGGACGTATTTGATGATAACCATATTTGATATAATTAAATCGTGTAATCAATCAAATCTTTTTTTATTGTTCAATATCCAATCGATGTAATGAAAAAAAAAATTTATTTACATATAATATTATTCTATGGAAGATTCTGCCATTGAAATAAAAGAGAGAAAATGGTATAAAAAAAAAATTAATGGAGCTAAACACAGGCTGAGCCACAATATAACATTTTATCACTAAAATTTTTATTTAATCACCCAATTTTGATATATTTGAATTTAATCCTCCAAAATTTATATACATCTAAAATATTCAATATCGTCAAATAAATTAATCGACATCTTTTTGACTGAGTATTAAATTTTTTCAACGTTGTGTTAAGTTTTACTTTGATTAACTGCTTTTAAGAAGTAAACAATATACATGATTCAATATACTCCGTGTCACGTTATAAGAGTAAAATAGATTTGTATAAAAAGAAAAATATCAATCACCAAGAAAAAAAGGAAAAAAAATTATTATGACAATACTCCGTGACGCCTTTTTTTTTTTTTTTAAATGATATTCAATGTCAAATTTTTTTTTTTCATTGGGTGATTGGTATCTTTTCTTAGTAATTTTTTTTTCATTGGGTGATTTATTTAGTTTTTTTATTATAAAAATCTACTATAAATCTTCTATATTCTCTCGAAATTTTTTCAAGAACTATGTTATAGACACATCAAATGATGTAAATGAATATCGAAAATAATTAAATGTACATTAAATGTGTTTGTTAAAAAATACGTATAACTCGTCATTTTTTCTTTAAAAAAATCAATTATTTTATTAATGTTTATTATTTTTTCGCGACCATTTTCTCAATATAATTTATATCATTTTCTTAAAAGAAAAATTATGTGTATGGCATAAACTTTTTTTTTTTTTAGACGTAAAAATTTAAATCAGGTAAAATAGGGAATCAAACCTTTTAGGTAGCAGACTATTTTTGACTTTTTATTATTTTGTTTACATACAGAAATGCCATTAGACTCTTAGTATGAGAGTTACTGTGCAAGGGAATGAGAGTAAAATGGGGAACACCTAAATACGTCCTGAATGAATAGTAACCGGCTGATTCGCTCTTTTAAGATAGCAGCGAAGATAGAGATAAGAGTCAACAATTGTGGGTAAGGAAAAATCCATGTTATCCTTTTTGTTATAATGCTTCATAAATGAATAGTAAATGAGGGATTGCCTCTTTTAATATAGTAGGGAGATGGTATGGATTTATTGTTTTTTTGAGGATAAAATAGGAAAAGAAAATGCTTCATATGGTAAATGGGGGATTGCCTCTTTTAGTATAAGTCCACTGCCCGTGCAATGCACGGGCTTTGTTATTTCCAAGATAATGTTAGCGTACCTAGAAAAATAAATCGCTCTTTTTTTTTTTTTTTTTCCTTTTTTTGGTGACTTGTTCTTAAATCTTCGATGCATAATATAACTTTTTTTCATGCACTCGCTTCTCTAAAGTTAAGAATTGTCAATACTCAACTTTATTATCAAGCATTATGAAACTAAGGAATAATTAAGAAAGAACCTATTTTTTATTAAATGGCAAATGGAACCTAATAACATTGAAAAATTGCAATATAAGTAGTAATCTTGGATGACAAAAATCATCAAGGTAATAAAAGCAATCATCTAAGCGCCATTTTGTCAAATCAAATTCTTCATCCTGTACAACCTTCTTGATAAAATACTTCGAGACAAGAAATGAAGAGTTCTTATTTAACTTGATTCACCTCGAAGCAACCAAAGCATGGAACACACTTCGTCAAATTTTTTTATGTACCATGTTAATTTAGGTACTGATCACTCACCCAAGAAACTAATGTGCGTAGGAATTGCAATTTTTGACCAACATTCTTTCTCCTAGCCTCTTCATGGTCCATGATGCCAGTAGATGTAATCAACAAAATGTATCCAAACTGAAAAGTACAATGATAGTCAAACAATTAAAAACAGAGGTATTGAAGGAAGGAAAATAAGAAAAATGAGATTCAATTTTGAGGATTTGAGCAATTATCATTCACATTGATAGAGTACCATTGCACACCCAATGTGGTAGGCTAGTATTTTTTGAAGTGTAATTATTATACTAAGTACAATATGCTTAGCCTATCAGGGAAAGGACGAATGAAATGAGGGTACAATCAAACACAATAATCACATTTCATGATAAGAACATGTGAAATTATTTAAGAATGGAGATGTCCCATTCACATACAATTGAAAATGCCTTTATAAAAGTTTGAATAAGAGAGTGTCTGTGATCCAAAACAATATTCCATGAAACAAAGTTACATGTGCAGAACAAATATATCATCATATGGCCTGGTTGATAGCTCAATATTCCCCAAGTGATCATCATCCAAATATTAATGTATAGTATTTTTATACATTGCCTGCCTAGACGGAAGTAACCTTGCAGTTCATCCCTCAATTTCTTGAACACCAATATCAAAATGAGGGCAGATGATTTCACATTTGTTCGACCACAATTTTTCCAAATCAGTAATAATCAACGTCCTCAAACTTTCCGATGTATCCTACACACATCATAAAGAATTAATGATATAGATGGAGTTTCTCATACTTAAATGGACGAAGTAATACCACATCATGTTTTTTATACTATGCTTTTACATCATGAAGAGAAATTTAATAATGACTTTGGATGATGGTTGAATCATGGCTTGACGCTTTCATCTCATCTATTCATTGATATGCTCTTAAGAGCGTCATTAAAGACATTAACTCCCACCATTTTTGCTTAAAAATCAAGCTATATCATGAATAAGAACAAGGTATCAGATATCATCATTTTGATTAACTTAATTGAGAAACAAATTCTCAATGCCAATGCAATCAAATATTAACTGAATTTAAATAAATGCACAAACGAATATTAGCATATAAATATTTGAGTAATTGGTTTGAACACAAATAAAAAGGAAATTCAACCAAGTAAAAAAAAATTTACAGGCATAAATTTTATTTTTCAATTGATGTAAGTATTAAAATGTTGTTGTGTATTTGTCAACACTTGCGAATAAATCTAAGGATTCATAAAAAATGCATTGTTACACTATATAATAATTTAAACAATTAGTTACCAGAAACCATCTGTTCATGTGCAGTAAAATTATAAAAAATGTAAAGAGAAATAAAGAAAAAAGAATAAGGTATCAATTTCACAAAAACCAAAGGAAAAAAGAAAACTATACAAAATATGAGCCACATGCAAGGTCCAATTGAATTGCAGCTAAAATCATCTGATTCAAAAAATATATATTAACAGTTGTACATAAAGAATGCTGATGCATTATACACATACACACAAAAACGAATTCCCATATTTATATGCAATTATAGCTTACTCGAAAGCCTGTCGACATAAAGATCTACAGACGCCATCCCTTTTCTACTTGTCAACAAACTCCTCTTCATCAAAGAACCCAAGAGTCTTTACCCTTGGGTCCCTACGAGTTTTTTTTCAGTCGCTTAAACTTCTTGCTCTCCTAATCAGTTTTAATAAAGCACAAATAATTAAAAATTACTAATTTAATTGAATCAACAATTGCAAATTTTACAAAAATCACAAAAGAATACACACGTAGAGAAGTCATAAAAATATTTTCTCTTAAACCATAAAAAAAAAAAACTTTAAAACGAAAAAAACTCAAAACACATCAACAGAAGTAGATCCCACAATCATTAGCCATCAACTATATAAAAACTAACAATGCAATATGTCATTTTTAGCATTAGCCTAAATTCTCTTTTCGTAACTATAATACATCTAAGTAAATGAAGAAAAGTAGAAGTAAAGTAGAATAAAAATAACCATGTTTTCATGTCAATACAACGGCTACCAAGGGAATCTTGAGCTTTAACGACTCTGAACTACTCCTTGTAACAAACTCTCTCTCTAAGTGATCTACATTAAATTTAAGAAATGTTAGAAAATCAAGAGAATAGAGAAAATCGAAGGGGATTACAGAATTCCCTATATCAAAAAATGATATATGATATATATTTGCTATCATACCTTGTTTCTTACCTAACACAATGGATTTCTCACTGATTTTCTCTTTTCCAACAAAACTTTCATCTTTCAATTCATCCTCTTTGTTTGAGCTTAAAGAAGTAGATGATGAAGTCAGGGGATATAACAAAATAGAAAATTTTAATGAAAAACCTACCCAACAAGAAATGAAAATATTCCATGATAAAACTTAAACCAAAGCTATCAAGAAAGATAAATATATAAAATTTCAATGATCTTACATTGAATTGCAGATTATTGTTAATTGTATCACTTACAAGCTCCTGATTGAGACCTAAATCAAGTACCAAAATAATAAGTACCTAAAAGGTCAATATCAACATTGATGTAATCATATCTCTAGATGTCAAAAAATAAAAAAACATATGTCAATTTTCAAGTGCCAGTAGATGTGTGTGTGTGTGTGTGTGTGTATCTGTGCTATGAACATGTATATATATAAACTCTTTCGGCCCTCAAAAACCATATACACAAATGAGATTATGAAACACGAGTTTTTACAAATTTCTCTATATTGACAACTTTTTTGTGTAATCAATCTTCTGGAAAAAACATTGTTAGTGTGAAAAAGGAGAAATAAGATCATATATCTAAAAATAAACCAAATTAAAGAAATTAAATCAATTAAAAATAATAATAATTCTAATCTCACCTTTGTAAATCGTAATTAAGAGGTAGAGGATGAATATGGGATATTTCTATTTATCAACGAAAGAATTTCCTTGTAAACAACATTTTTTGTACATGTGTTGTGTAAATTGTCTGTATTTAATGGTTTCATTAGAACTTTTATAGATGTGCTTATTTTTGTTTTTGATAATGCTATATAAAGTTGACCATGACAAAAAATTGGTTCTGGAAGGTACAAGCCGACAAAATCAAGTGTTTGACCTTGCACTTTATTTATTGTCATTGCGAAGCATGGTCTTATTGGAAATTGAGTTCTTTTGAATGGAATTAAGTTTCAATCATTTTTCAAAGGTATAAAAGGAACCTTTGGTAAGAAAACATATTTTTCACAATATTCGTCAGATGTAATTTCAACAAGAATTGCATTCTTTTCAAATTTGAGACAACTAAGACACGTCCTATTGCATAACCCTTCAGAATGATTGATATTTCGTAATAATATCACAAGACAATTTACTTTAAGTTTCAATTCGTGTGGTGGAATACCATTTGAAGTCAAGCTATTTAAAAAATCTTCCTGTAGACTCTGTTCTGATTTATCAATTGCTTCATCAAAACTATAATATGTATAAAGTTGACCAGAAATTTATTTGAATATAATTCTATTAATATGATCAACACATTCATTCGTAGGTATAAGAATCACTCGATTTGCCATCGTATCTAGATTATCAGCATATGCTTCTATATTCAGGAAAACATGATGTATTAATTTCTTCAGAGATGTAATTTCTTCCTCAAATGGTAAAACTATATTGTCAGGAAGTTTGATACATCTACAAGTGTGTTCTTCTTCTGTTCCATCTCCAATTCTTAACAAGAAATGACAAAATGTGGGATCAAGCTTTGTCCTCATATTTTCAACTAATGGTGGATGGAAATACGAAGGCCATAGATAAGAGAAAACTAAGCTAGCATTCATAATGTCTTTCTTTTTTCCTTTTGGTACAACTGGTAGAACTTGTCGAAAATTTCCTCCGAGTACTATCACTTTTCCACCAAAGAGTAAATTACAATCAGTAATATCTTTGAGCATTTTGTCTAGAACTTCAACAACACAACGATGTACCATAGGTACTTCATCCCAAATGATTAACGTAGACATTTTCAATAAATTTCCTAAAGCTGATTGTTTGCTAACTGATACGTTGCATATCACGTTCTAATTAATTTTCCTTAATTAACTTAATTGTGTCGTTTTAAATAGTAATATGGCAAGTAAGGGTTATTTTTCGCAGAGGATTGATTCAATTATGTCGATTGTGCACTAAAAAGTAAAATTAATAATAATAGACGAAATAGATTAAATGGAGAGGATGGTTTGGTTTGTTGAACTAAGGAAAGTGATAAATTTAAACTAGAAAAGACTTGAAATTTGAAATAAACAAAGTGGTTCTTGATTGAATGCGAGAAAATGTGATTCGAGGATATTTCGTCACCACGAGAATGATTTTCAAGTCAATTACAACAATAGATTTTCGTTCTCGAGATTAACAACAGTTCGAGAATAATTACAAGTTCAATTACCTTAATCCCTTCTTACATGTTAGTCGAATAAAACAAGCTCTTTACTCAACCTTATTCATTAAACAACCTAGAACAAGTTCTCTAGATTTAATTTAACAAACACATTACGACAAAAGAGATGAATTGAATTAAGGGTAAACTCGCAAGCTCGATTTACAAACTTAAGTATTAATCCACATACATTCAATTGAAAATTCTTCATAATCTATCGAAATGTAATTGCTACTAGGTTTTAGAATCAATAGCTATTACGTACTACTAATTCCAAAATAGCATTATCAAAACAATTTAACCATTTAGTTGTATACCTAAACAATCAAGAAGAACAAAATAAACATTAAACACATTTATCAAGAGAATTATAAAGCACTAATTAATTGAAAATCATAACTCGGGTTTGAAATAATCCCCAATCACAAAATATAATTAGTTACCCATAAATTATCCACAAATAACTAACAATTTCTTACAAAACATTGATGGAAAAAGTGAAAAGAAAAACTTATTTATAAAGAGAGAAATTGTTGAAAATCTTTCAATATCAATGGGTCATCTTCTCCAAACTAATGCACCATTTCCATAATCCAATTTTCTCCAAAATATCTTAGAAAATAAAGGTGAAAGGAAAAAGGAAAAACAAAGAAAACAAGAAGAAGAAGAGACAGCTGCCTCTCAAGTTCAAGAATGAAAATCTTGTGTTTGGTTGAATGTTTTAACCTAAAACATAAAGGAAATTGTAGCATTAGTCCCTGGAACTTTGAAAACAAAAAAAAATGACCCGGGTGGCGCCTGGGTACCACAGTTTTTGTTTTTTGTTCAGGGGCGCCTAGCTCGCTAATTTTTTTTTTTTAAATCTTCTTTCAACGGCGTCTTTGGTTGTCTTCTTCGTTTGCCTTCATCTTTAACTCATTTCTCACATAAATTCCTTTAATTCGTCGTTTAATCTCAAGTTTTCACCTACAAAATAAAAATAAGAAAATTAAGTAATAAATCGCTAATAAAACTCGCAAATATCTAAGTTTAATGGTCCGAATAAGCGCAATAAACCCGCATTTATCACTAACAGAACAACTGATTTCACCAATTATTTCTAAAGGAATTTTAAATCTTGAATGAGCGATTCGACCTCCATGTAATAAAAATGCAGATACTCCAGATGATGCTACTACTAAAGCAATTAAATTTTGTGACCTTACACCAGCGAGAAGTGATTTATATAAAAAAGTTTCCCTTGCCCCACCTAGACCGTCAATGAAGAAAGCACTACTTGATTCTGATTCTACTCTTTCCATAATCATATCATATGCAAATTGTTGTTGTTTATTTAATCTTGATGTAGAAGCAAGGTTCTCTTCAACATCTACAAGAATCGTCTCCTCTTCAATCATTCTCTTCAACCTTTCATTTTCATCTATATTCACATTGAATGACACCATTCCATAGCCAACGTTTATAAAATAGAACGGATGTCCTCTAAAGCACGTACTTCAGCTACCTCCACAGATTTATTTTCATGTACATAGTCATCAATCATATAAGCCCTAAATTTATCCTATAACAACTTCGGATTATTAGGGTTGCAAAGAGAAAGAAGCGTAGCAAATAGACGTCTTAAAGAAGTAAGGATTTCATACAGAATAACTTCAGATAAATATTCTTCACAATGATTGTCTCCACTTAATAAATCATGTAGAAGTGCTGCTTCTCTATAGGTAGCAACAGTTAGCCCATTGACAATTCGTAAATCATTAAATGATGTTGGTCCTCTAATATGATTTAGAAGAATACGGACGAAGTATTGTTCTCCTTCAGATGGATTAACTGTGACAATTCATCCTACAACAATTTGTTTTTTCTAATAGTCCAAATTTTTTTTTTTTTTGAGTTCCAGACAAAATGTGATGGAAAATCTCGATATAACAATGTTCTAGCAAATTCATTTGTTTCATTCATGCAAAAAAATTCAATCAACATAGTTCTTCTCGTATTTTCATTCTGAAGAATAGTAGATAAATCGTCATGATCTTCATATGTAATTTGTTGATGATGTTCAATATGAAGTTGTAAAGAATAAACCAGTGGATGTATTTCACACAAGTTGAAAGAGAAAATCATCAACATAGCTTCAGGTGAGGATATCCATTTAGCAGATTGGTAAGCTAATATTTCATCAATTTCCTTGTTCATTTCATTGGTACCAATGGAAAAATTAATACAATCATGTCCTTTGCACACATATTTGCATAAATATTTTACAGCTTTTATAGAAGAACATACTTCAACACTGATGTGACAGTCAAATTTCGCACTTAAATAAAAATAATATAGTACGACCCAATGATTGTCTAACATATGGCATCTAACTTTAATAGAAATATCATCATCACAACGCTTATACAATGGGTATGTATTATAACCAAATATGGTGGTATTACAAAAATCCCTCGAATATTTATTTTTACAACCTTTATTCGTCTCTATACATATATTTTTAGGATTTAGATTTCCACAAGAACCATGTATATTATGTTTCACAATAACAGAATGAAGATGGGAATATTTATTTTTGTCAGGAATTTCACAAGACACTAACCTATCAACTTGTTCAGCATAAGAGATTTTATAGCCACAGTTAAAAATCAACAATAGATGTGCCTGAGGAAGATCTCTTTTTTGAAATTCAATTACATATATGATATATGTGAGCAACAATTGCACCTAATACATTTTTCTTTATTTTTGTCAGGAATTTAACAAGACACTAACCTATCAACTTTTCAGCATAAGAGATTTTATAGCCACAGTTAAAAATCAACAATAGATGTGCCTGAGGAAGATCTCTTTTTTGAAATTCAATTACATATATGTGAGCAACAATTGCACCTAATACATTTTTCTTACATAAATCATTCTTTAATTCTTCCAACTTTGATCTGAATACACATATAATTAAATATGGTCGATTTTGAACTTTATCATTGTGTTTCAATTCTTCTTTAATTTCAAGCCAATTTGGATTACAAGTTATAGTTAAAAATATGTCTGATTTTCCATAATGTTGTACAAGAGTCATTGCATCCATATATCTCCTTAACATATCTCTAGGGCCACATGTAAAAGATTGTGGTAAAACAAACTTTCTTCCAATTTTAGAACCCCTTGTTTCCGCATTTTGAACACTATGTACAATACCTTGATAAAGTTCAACACAAATTCTTTTTTGGTTATTACGAAAATAATCTAATCTAGCAGTTTCAATCTTAACATACATATCTACAACATATTGTTAAAATAGTCTATCACTGTGGAGCAACAAATACTTACCAGGAAGCCTAATTTATAACTTGTATGCATAATATTCTCTACAAGAAAGTTGAGACCATTTTGGCGCTCCATTAAGTACTGCAGAATGTCAGAAACACCAATTTCAATAATCATTAGAAACATTCATGTCGTAGTTTTTTCAAAATGGACTAAAATGTATATATGCAAACCTTCGTTCTCTTGTTCAATAATTCCAGTTGCTGAATTAACCTTGTTAGGAAATAACACAGATTCAGGTAAATGTTCAAGTTGAGAATTTGTGATTTTGTGTCTCTGAATACCTTCATGCCAACCAGATTCATCATATGGAAACAATAGAGGATATTGCATTCGTAACAACCATAATAATAATGTACTTTGTGTGAATCCCCAGAATGTCCATATATAGTAATATCACAGACACGAGCCTTCGCATTATCATCATCCTCGTCCCATACAACACCTACTTGAGAGGATGTAGGAGTATTGAAAACTTTTTGGTCAACTCTTAGGTCACATCTTATCTGTATTGTATTTGATGGTTGTGCAAATCAGTCATATCACTTAAAGACTTGAAGAATTTACTATACGGATTCACTTTCAGGATCTCGATTAAAAGAATCAAAGTAGATTCAACAAAATTTTCTGAAATTCTCATACAATTCTGAAATTCATTATCTGTATCATAAAAGTACAATTGCATATAAGAAGGTGCATTATTCTTTGGCATCAATTGGTTTACATAATGATATACTTGTCCTTGAATTCTAAATGTATATATACCTCTGTATGCTTGAAAGAATTCTTTATCGTACTTTACACCAAATGAAGTGAATGCAAAATAATTATTATATCCCCTTGCAATTTTCTTGAGCTCCATGCATGTAGGTTCTTTAGAAGTAAACAAGTTGTACAATTCGATTAGTGATTCAGGCGTAAAAAAGTTTAACTTTTCCATCCGAACAACAAAAACCTTTATTTTCTCTATAAAACTTTCGGGCACCACAATATTTACAATCCATACACGTAGGTAATATATATGCAATAGTTGGTATATTTAACAAGTCAGAACTCCCTTGTAGTTCAGAATTTGAAATAAACGATGTTTGAGCTCGATTTGATTCCAAAATATTTACAACCTTGTAGTTGGTAATATTTACAATCGATGCGATGAATTTGAACTCGATTCTGCCAATCCCTTTTTCTTTGAGCTCGTTGTTGGCAAATGAAGGCATTATATGACTCATTTATATTTTTTGAAACAACTTGAGGGTTAACATCATGTTTTCCATCAATATTTGATTCCAAAATATTCATTACAACAATAGAATAACTTATGGAATAGTTAGAAGATCAGCGAGCAACAGAAAATGCAAAATGCTGTGTAAATCCATTAGCACGTGTTAGATTATGTGTGCAGTAAAATTTAATTTGACAGTATAAAAACTATCTAAAAGATTACTAAATACAAACTCTCACAATACGGTGTGTGCTTCGCTAAACTTTTATAATGTGGTAGTTTAAAACTAAACACAAAGAAGATATTTACGCCC